AATGGCATACATAATGCGCGATGTAACATGGCATACACGATGCTCTAACATACAACCTAGCATACGCAATGCTATGAATTGAAATGGCATACACAATGCACGATGGACTTACACCAACATGAGTGGACCTCAGCCGCACTCACATCAATGGCCATGAGATGAAAAAATGAGACACTCGAAGTGCGTGCACACATGCACGCAAACCGAGAACCGAACCTAAGGCACGAATGCCACTCTATCAAAGCATAGCAAGGCATGGAACATGGTATGCAAACATGCAAATTTCAGTAGCAAAATATGATGCAAAACAGCCCCAAAACATGGAAACATGGCACCCGATGTATGGAATGAAACCCCGAAACCCGAAACTAGGCACGTGGAATGACTTATAGCTATACAAAGCATGCATTATTTGATCATGAAGCATGAAGACATATTCAAGGCAGTACCAAAACATGCATATTTCCATTTTATAACAAGTCCCAAAAACAAACACAAGTAGGGCTAATCTATCATGCAAAAAAGGCCCCAAAAGAGGGACAAAGAAGCAAGTGGCAGCTTCCGGCCCCAAATGGCCAAGATCCCTTCAACAAAGTTGAAGAGGGGCTCAAAATGAAGCACTTTACAGTTTAAAACAAGCCACAAAAACAAACAAAAGTATGGCTAAACTATTGTTCAAGAAATGGGCCAAAAGGGAGATAAAGAAGCAAGTGATGGTTTCTGGTCTCAAACAGATGAGGGCCCTTCAATAATGTTGAAGAGGGACCCAAAATATGACCTTTTACAGTTCTAAAAAGAGCCCAAAAACAAACACAGGTATGGCTAAGCTCTCATGCAAGAAATGGGCCAAAAGGTGGACAAAGAAGCAAGTAAAGGTTTCTGGCCTCAAACACAAAGTGGTCCTTCAACAATATTGAAGAGGGGCCCAAAATATAGCATTTTACAGTTGGTGGCCAGACCCAAAACAACATATATACAAGCCAAAAATACTATGCAAAATATGGCCAAAAAGAGAGATATAACACAAAGTATGTGAAGGATGCCTCAAACAGCAAAAGACCCTCAATGAAACATGAAGAGGGGGTCAAAATAAGGCTGTTTTAAGTACGGACCAGAGTCCAAAAATAGAAGTACAAGAGGCTAATAAATCATGCAAAAATGGAGCCAAAAAAGGGATATAAAGGCAAGTGGAAGATAGAAGCCTCAAACAGCAATGAGCCCTTCAACAATGTTGAATAAGGGCTCAAAATAAGCCCCTTTTCAGTTCATGACAGAGCTCAAAACAGTTTGTACATAGGCCAAAAATACTACACAAGATAATGGCATACAAGAGGGATAATGAAGCAAGTGCAACAAGGAGGCCTCAAACAGTGAGATGACCTTAAACAAAAGTGAAAAGGGGCTCAAAATAAGCCTAACTCCAGTTAGGGTCGGAGCCCAAAACAGCAAGCAAGTATGGCTAATGTATTGGACAAAATAAGCTCAAAAAAGGAAAATAGGGACTCACCCTTGTAGACCAATACTCCAACAACCTTTGAGCCAAGTTTAGGAGTCCTTCACCTCTGGAAATCAGCTTCGACCTTCTGGAATGGAAGTTGGGGATGTGGTGCTATGAGGTGTAGTGTAAAATGGTGTAGGGTTTGAAGGATTTTGGTGCTTGGAGTAGAGAGGGAGAGAGATGTAATGCAAGAGCCTAAAGCAATTTTTTGTAACCCTTAAACTAGAGCTAGAGCTACTGTTATATAGGCAAAAAGGGGGGAAAAAAGGGGGGGGGAAATGGGGGGGAAAACAATTCAAGTTTCTCCCCCAAAAGGCCAAAAAGTGGGATATAAAGGCAAGTGGTAGCTGCTGGACCCAAATGGCTGAGAGCCCTTCAACAAAGTTGAAGACGGGCTCAAAACAAGACACTTTGTAATTTATGACCAAGTCCGAAACAGCTCACAAGTAAGCCTAAAATACCGTGCAAAAATAGGCCTAAAAGAGCGTTAAAGAAGCAAGTGATAGGAGGAGATCTCAAACAGAAAAAGGTCCTTAATCAAACATGAAAAGAACCTCAAAATATGACTATCTCAAGTTTGGGTCGGAGCCCAAAAATGCAGAATGAAGGTTCGGGAGCCAAAACACGCAGTTCGGGGCCCCGAAAGTGGGCTGTTAGGCACCGGAAGTGGTGTCCGACCACGAAGTTGGTCTCTCGGACCACAGTGTCCCTCAAAAGGGAGCAAATAAGATGTATGCCAAAAATTGAGGCAAACGGAGGTGGTTAAGCGGTCCCGAACCGAGGCACACGGCCAACGGCTCCGAAAAATCGAAAACCGGGCTCCAAACGGGCAAAATGGCCTACGACCATGAAACGTGGCCTACGGCCACTGAGAGATGATCTATGAGACCTCTCCCCTCCCTTCGAGAAGAGAAAACAGAGAAAACAGAGCCTGGTTCGCAAACCGAGGCAAAGCACAAAAGAGTCCGGAAGTCCGGAGGCAAGGCTTGCAGCCGAGACTCTGAAACTTCTGAACGAGCACAATATGCAACATCACTGAGCGCTCAATCGGTGACGTCTAAGTCTTAAGGTCGGTCAAAAATTGGGTGTCTACAACTACCACTGCCCCTAGCCGCTGCCGGCCACATTTTCGTCAACCATTTGTCCACTAACTTTATGACGGTAATGACAATGCAAAAATAATTTAAAAAAAAAAAAAATCAAAATTCAAGCATGTGAGGGATCCAAGTTTATCTCATATCGATTCGTTAGGAACTCTTGACTCAACTTATAAGTGTATCATACCCACAAACCTTTAAGAGGCATTTTTTAATAAAGGAAGAACAAAACCGTGCGCACCCCATGATAAAAAACAGACAATATCTTAGTGCGTGCTACGACAGTGGGGTTGTCCACACAAATGGCACTATCTGTGGGAAACCGAACTCCACACTGTTGGAAATCAGACTTTTAGTGGCATTTAAAAAACGCCGCCATATGTATCAAAAACGCCCCTAATTCCTTTTGTGGCGTTTAGTACCAAACGTCGAAGCTGCGACCGTCGTTGTAGCTTTGTGACGTTTTAAAAATGTCATGATATTAGTATTGGAGGCGTTTTAAAAAACGCCGTCAAATGTCCCACTATACACACGTTGACGTCACCAACAATATTTAGCGACATTTTTAAAACGCCGTCGTATCTGTTTTAAAAATATAACCATTACTGTTGAGGGTTTAGGAGGCGTTTGTAGAAACGCCGTCATATCTTTTTTTTTTTTTTTTTTGATATTGTGCTAATTTTATTTGATTAAATTAAAAAGAATACCTGTAAGAAAATATTGAATTTGGTTTCTCATTCAATTAATAAAAAAATACCTGTAATAAAACTAACATACAAACTATTAACTCCCATTCAAATACCTGTAATAAAACTAACATACAAAATATTACCTCCCATTCAAATATCTGCAATAAAACTAACATATAAAATAATAACTCCCATTCAAATAACAAATTAAGCATTAATTCAGTTTCTCATTAAAAAAAAAAAACTAACAAACCGTTCTTAAGTAAGAGACTACAATTTGTAAAATTTTGATTCCAAATCTGCTAAAATGAAAAATCCATCCATCTTGTCATAAAACATAACCCACCAAACTCAATTCTTGTCTCAAAGCTGCCACAAAAAGTAAATTAACTCCTCTTGAAACAAAACAATTACATAAAGATAGTATACCTAAGACAAAACTCAAAGACAGAAAAATCTCACTGGGAGACTCCCAACCACTTTGAGAAGTTTTCAAACTCGGTGTAATCGCTGTCGGAGATCATAGTCTGGTACTATGCCTTTCCTGCAGACTTGCTTTTGGTAGCCTATTCCTGTTAATGATGAAAAGGTCAAAATTATTCATTTAGAAAAAAGGATCCAAATGAGGCCAATTGTCTACATATCAGTTTCTATGCACTGAATGATTGACAGAACTGAATATTATTACAGCAAAGTGATCAGAAATACACGTACACAAGTATAGTCTCAGTATGCACTTCTAAACTACTGAGCTAAATCATATGGTACTAATTATGGTACTTAACTAGGAACACTTTGTAATACTGCTGGGATTTGATAAGCAGCATTTTGACTGAAGATAAAGAATTTTCTACAGCCATAAACTGCACTGAGCACCATTAACAGAGGATATAACCAACAGGGGTAAACAATTCAGACTAGCCACCAATGTCATGTATAATATAACCAATAAGAAACATGACACTAGAAAATTGAAGGGAAATGTAAATAACATGTAAGCTAAATATTATTCACATTTTGTTTCCCTTTTCTTTTTTCCCCCTCCACAAACCCCCCACGAAATTGAAGATCTGCAACAATTTTCATGACACATGGGGGGGCACAAAGTATATAGTTTAATATATTTATTATGCTATACATATGAATACTTAATAAAAAATAATTAAAATAAACATAGCACTAAATTTTAAAGTTTAGAGGATAGATTAATAAGTATAAATCTACATTTTTACCTTGTTAGTTCTTTTTCTTCTTCTTATTCTTCTTCTCTTTCTTTGAAAGGTGAACCTATATTTAATAAGAGCAAGTATTGTAATTAATAAGATATGTTATTTGTCAAAAAAGCTTTTGATTAAATGATTGCTCACCTCTTGTCTGCTTTTGTGTGGCTTGACTTGAGCTAGGACCTACAAAACACAGATACATGGCATGCCACAATCAGTAAATGTTTACCATTGCTAGCGAGTTAGAAATCACGCTGCAGCGTGTGTCAAAGAAGCATATTATCAGCACACCTGAGGTGAAGATGAGAAAGTTAAAATAGAACAAACATACAAGCATATAAGTGTATATCCACCAGCAAAGGACTTTCATTATTACAGTGAGCCGGTTCCCTCAACAACCATGATGACCAGAAGCTCTCAAGTAATTTTCATGAACATGTCTATGATCACACAAGCAATTTCATGATAGAAGAAACATGAACATAGGTAAGATAGCAACAAAACACAGGACAGGGAAGCACATTTGTCTGATATAATAATATCAAAGGAATGTATACCCTTAAAGCAAGTGCCAGTGGAGAATGAGTGGACTCAAACTGCTGCTGAGCTACAGTTGCATGTTCAATCATTCCTTTCTGGAAGGTAGCATCAACTTGCTCAAACATGGCTTTGCATGACATCTCAAAGGCAGGAATAACGGAAGCTTCCAAACTAGACTTCAATGCATCCTGCATATTGAATCGCTCAAACAGTCAGATCAAGATTTCCAGATTCATTTAGTAAGGCATACAATCTCCTCAGGTCAGATACTGCTAGAGAGAGAGAGAGACCCATAAAAATTTTGAAGTTATTGAACAACAATTACAAAACATCAATTAATCCCATATACATGCATAACATACTCAAGAAGAACTAGAGCCAGACACTACATTTGAAAAGTTGAGAGATAATGGACTGTCCATAAGATAAAACTGTCCTAAATACACTGATCACAGCTCAGATATCTGTCCAGTTAAGGATACACATGAAGTACACTCATGTTCAACATAATAGAATATCATGCAACAGACTGAAATGGAATGCTGCACTGAATTCAATGAAACATACCTTTGGGATGAATCGGTAGGGTTACAGAAAATGCAAGAGCTCAATGTGTCAATGAGTGCACATGTTTGTGGTACAATATTTTGACTAGTGACAAAAAAGAAGTACGAAAGCAAAGCAAATAACCTAGATAGGAGCCAGACCTAACACAAACCAAAAACCAAACTACCAACCATCTCCACAGATCAACAGCAACCAACCATAGCAATAGCAGCCACCAATTAGGAGAGCAGAACCATAGAGCAAAACACAAAACAATCACAATCAAGAAAACTAAACAGAGAAATAAAAGACAACTGCAGCACACCAAGAGCAAAACAGGTTTTAATTCTATCAAGAGTACTCCTTTTCACCCAGACCAGCAGCACAGATTAGCAGCACTCCTTTTCACCCAGACTAGCAGCACACCAGATTCTTGCAGATTATCTACCAAGATCATAACATAATACTACTGTTGTTCATTCTCTCACACATATCATCCTACACACAACAATACAAATTTTAGAGGCTGCAAAACTTCAGGACTCTGCAAACTAGAACAAGCTACCCACAGAAACACAGCAGCAACCCTAACAGAGGCAAGACACAGCAGCAGAGCTCACAGATGCAAAACTCAGACACAGCATCAGTGTTCACAGATGCAAAACTCAGATGCACAGCCTACAAGAATCACAAAATGCACAACAGTACACCCATTCCAACAACCACATCAATCCATCCACCCATATAAATCAACAAGAACTACAAATACTGAGAGCAACCAAGGCCTAACCCAACAAACCAGAATATCACACAAATCAACAAGAACTATATATGTAAAGCCTTCATGTTCTATTGATCCTTGATTTAGGTAATTTTTTTTTCTTAAGGTTAATGGATCATCTATCATGCTATATTAACTAATTTTGATTCACTCCAAAGCCTTTGACATCCTTTATATATATATACCTCCAGTCGAACTACTGAGAAAGGCTTTCGGCCTGTTCTATGATGTAATGTCTTCTTCTTCCGGATTTTTCTATTTTTCTTGCTTGATTTCTGTCAAATATGAAATTTATTTAAGATGTTATAAAAAATTATCATATATAAACATTTTTTCACATAAATAAAATTTTACCGATGCACTCTGAGTGCCCCAATAGTAGACCAAAGCCCGCCAGTGATCCTCATGTACTCTATCTGGTCGATGAGCCAACCGTTCTGCATCATTCTTGAAGGGTTTGTATCCTATTGTTTTCACTCGACTTTTCCAATCTCTCAATTTCTTTCCAAATGAAGCCATTATTGTTCTCTTCATGGATTCATCTGCATCCGTTTGAGCCTGCATTACAATTATATACACTTGTAATATGCAATGTCAACTACACTTGTAATATGCATTTCATATGGAATACAATTGTAACTTATTTCATATTAAATATCCATATATACCTTTATCTCCCTCCATATGTTATCTTTGTTTTGTTTTGGAACATAATGCCAAGTGGTAAAATTGAGTGGTGCAAGACTCCCATCTCATGCCAAAACACCCAAATGTGAAGCAAGGGATGTGTGTCCTTCAACTACTTGATTCAACTCATTTGGAACAACTTTTAAAATGCCATCTTCACTAGTATCCCATTGACCATGCACATATGTGGGACCCCTTGTCTGCTTTTGTGTGGCGTGACTTGAGCTAGGACCTACAAAACACAGATACATGGCATGCCACAATCAGTAAATGTTTACCATTGCTAGCGAGTTAGAAATCACGCTGCAGTGTGTGTCAAAGAAGCATATTATCAGCACACCTGAGTTAAAGAATGGTTGCTGTTAGGACCCATTAAAATGAGTCTCTGCAAGAAGAGTTTGGCAACAGTGATTGCCATTGAAAGAATGGTTGTAGTTAGGGCCCTACCAAATTTTGAGTGTAATATGTGTGAAATGTGTTTGATTTGGAATTTTAAACTTTTTTTTAAGGTATTCCTTGATTTTGACGAGAGTTCTTGATTCTCAAGTCTAATCATTCAAACATAAGAGTAAGGACATAATAATCTATAAATATCTACTGCATTCAAAACAAAATAAGAGTACATGAAAGATAAAAATGGCCATTTAAAGAAAACTACAAAGGTACAAAAGCAAAGATTTTATTAATATGAATATCCATACAAATGTAAAAGTGAATATGCGGCCAATTACAATATCATATCAGTTCTTCGTCATCTTCAAATTGTGCCTCTGTCGATGCTTCAAGAGGTCCAATAGTTTCATCAACAGTTGTTCCATCAATACCTTGCCTAACCCAATCCATGTCCTCCTCACAAGTGAAGGAAGCTACATCTAACTCTTGATCACCAAATCCTTCCACTTCGTTGTGATGTAGTCCTTCATCAATAGTTGGTTGTTCTCCACACACCTCATACAAGTCTCTGGGTTTCATCTTGAGTACAACATTCTAATCTTCATCAACAGAATCACTAACATTAAAGACTTGTTGTGCTTGAGATGCTAAGATGAATGGCTCATCACTATCTTGTTTCTTTGTATATAACAAGTGATTGAAATTAACAAGTGTAAAACCAAAATCATCTTGCTTGAGTCCCTTATTGTTATCAATCCAGTTGCACATGAATAACATGTATCTATGGTCATGTGAGTAATACAATTCAATAATATCTGTCACATATCCATAGTACGCTACGTCACCTTTCACTGGATTAATGTCTTTTGCACTTGCATAGCTAGAAGTCTTTGCCTTCACCATAACCCCACTATTCTGAGTTTTTCTTCTCAACTCACAACTCTTAGTATGATACCTAGTACCATTAATTATATACCCATTAAATCTGGTGGCCTTTTGGCTGGGTCCCAAAGCCAAAATTTTAATCTCTTCTGACAACGCTACATTTTCAGTAGCTAGTAGCTCAGCAACCTATTTTTAAAAGAAAGTTATCAATATTAAACATCAATTAACAACTTCAAAAATATAGAAGCACATGGATTGCAAAAATATAGAAGACTTGTGCTTGACATGCACTTACATGAGAATTGAACCATTTGGGAAACTCATCATTGTGACGGCGATCCACATCATAATCTTTGAGACGACGATGTGACCGTTTAATAAATTCACAATGTTCCCTACATAATTAAACTACTTGTAAAATGCACGATAATTATAGTTGGTATAAATACATTCACAATGAGACAAAGGTTGCATCTATCTTACTCTCGATATGGGACAACCGCAGCAATGTTAAATAACATATACCGATGAGCCAGTACCCATGTTGTGTTATCAAGAACAAACCCTTTTCCTTTTCCTAAAGCCCGCCCCATTAATATCTCAAGATTGTCACTAACATCGCAATTCCTTAACGGTTGATGCAATTTCGACTCAACATCATACAAGTACGTTGAGCAAAACGTCATACATTCTTCGACCAAGTATCCCTATGCAATTGAACCTTCAGGATGACTTCGATTACGCATGTATGATTTAAGCGTCATAAGGTACCTATAAACAAAAAGATGCATACATGACTTCCAAGTATAACAATCAAATATATACAAAATGGACATTGAAGTAGAATTACACACCTTTCTACAAAGTACATCCATCGATATTGCACCGGACCGGCAATCTTTGCTTCCTCTGCTAGGTGAATGGGTAAGTGCTCCATTATATCAAAAAATGATAGAGGAAAAATTCTCTCAAGATGGCAAAGTGTAAGAGCGATTTGGGACTGAAGACGATTTAGACCATCCACATCTAGGGTTTTGAAACACAACTTCCTGAAGAAATTGCTTAACTCAATTAATGGTTCAACCACTTTCTTCGGTAACAAATTTTGCACTGCTATTGGAAGTATTTGTTGCATGAGTATATGGTTATCATGACTTTTCAGTCCAGATATGCTACGCTGTTTGAGGTTAACCCGACGAGAAATACTGGATGCGTAACCATCTGGAACTTTGATATTCTTTAGAAGTGTGCCGAATAGACTTTTCTCTCTATTGTTCATGGTAAAACATGCAGGAGGCAAATAATACTTGTTCCCAACCCTTTTTTGAGGATGTAGTGCCTTCCGAATTCCCATATCTTGCAAATCTCGACGAGTATTTAAATTGTCCTTCCCTTTTCCATCAACATTTAATATCGTCCACAATACATTATCACACACGTTCTTTTCAATGTGCATCACATCAAGATTGTGGCGAATCAAATTATGCTCCCAATATGATAGCTCAAAGAAAATACTTTTCTTTTTCCAATTATGACCCGAGTCCTCATTTTCCTCCTTTTCTTTTCCCTTTCTATTCTGTTTGCTAGATTGTTGACGCTTAGAATTCAATTTGAACTTAGGGCCTAGTTGTTGTAGCACATTAGCCCCTGATAACCGACTTGGACATGGTTCGAATTCACGAGTGCCATCAAAAGACGCACTAGCTTTCTGAAATTTGTGACCCCCATTCAACCAGCGACGATGCCCCATGTAACATAATTTCCTTCCGTTCTTCAAATATCGAGAACGAGTATGTGTGTTACAACAAGGACAAGCTAAAGCGCCTTTCGTGCTCCATCCAGACAAAACTGCATAGGTAGGAAAATCATTTATAGTCCACAATAACACAACATGCATTCGGAACATCTGATTAGTTTCCGCATCATATGTGTCAACACTGTTTTCCCACAGTTCTTTCAATTCATCCACTACAAGGCGTAAGTAGACGTCAATATTATTTCCAGGTGAAGAAGGACCATCGATGAGCAATGTCATCATCATATGAGGCTGCTTCATACACAACCATGGTGGCAAATTGTATGGCATTATAATAACTGGCCAACTTCTGTGAGAGACATTCATTGCCTTG